AAATAAAAGTTACCCTTACAAACACAATATTTAAATTCAAAATCTTGAAATTTAAGTATCAAACATTATATCATCTCATCTAACAAAAAATCTTAAATATTTTTATAAAATAAAATATAAAAGTACAAAGTATTTTTATTTTACTAATAACAAATAAGTGTCTTTATGACTTAATTATATATCAAACTTAAAATATTAATAATAATCACAATAAATTTAAAGGTGTGAAAAAAGTATATCACATTTTCTTTAAAAGTAAAATAAATTTTTTAATAAATCATATTCATGGTGTACAAAATATATTTGCACATAATCTATATTATTAATAAAGAAAATTATCTCATTTGAAATTCATATTTTTAAAAAATTTTATCTTTATAACTATCTTTTTATAAATTATAACTTTTTTTGTTTTTATGTAAATTTTTTTATAATTACCTAAATTTTAAATAATCACTTACTATTATATATGTTTTTATTATTTATTATTTATAAAAATAATTCCAAAAAAATGAAATATATTTTGTATGCTAATATTATAAATATAAATAATGCATAGTAGTAAAATCCAAACACTCCAAGACACATTTAAACGTGACATACAAGTACAACAGCTTCACAACACGTGCGTTGTTTATCGATATAAATCCAAGCCATCTATCTTCACCAAATAATTATTAAAACAATAATAATATTTTTAAAATATATAATTTCAACATCTGTAGATAATTGAATATTTTTAAGTATTTCACTTAGCGAAAGAAATTGATTTCTCACCATTTATTAGAGGATACACTGATATAAAATAACTTTTTTTAATTATTTTCGTTATTAGGAACACCTTCTTTAATATTATTCTATTTTTTTTTCTTGATTAAAATTTATTCAAAATTAAGTATCTTTATAGATTTTATCAATAAATACTCATCAATGACAGATTTAATAAATCTTGTTGAAACAACTTTTAAAATAATTATTATAAAACTTAATAAATATAAAACACCTTTTTTTTTCCTATGTAATGTAGTGTTCTAAAACTGTTATATTATTTTATTTTTTTTTTCCATGTTGTGTAGAGTTCTAAATCCTAAACTGATTTATAAAACATAATTTTTACCAATCAAATATTATTTTAACATATATATTATTAAGTTTAAAGATATTTATAAAAAAAAATTGCCAATAATTATTATTTATTTTTAATAAAAAAAACTTTCAAAAATCATAAAGAAAAAAATGAAGGAAAAAATAATCAATAAATCATATTTAAAAAATTTGAAAATTACTTAAAATCTTATCAGCTAATTGCTTAAATTTGATATGACAATATTAAATCCAATAAATAAATTTGTACTCTAAATATTCTTCATAACTAAAATTTATTAAAAATTTTAAATGTTATAAAATTTAGCCTCTATATTAAATTTTTTTTTTGTTATCTTTTCATCAAATTAACATCAATGATGTTAATAAAATACAACAGAAGATAACATTAAACATTACTTAAAAATTAGAGAAGCAAGTTTAATTATTTTAAAATAGTAGGATCAAATTAAATATTTCATAAACAAAAGAATTAAGTTAGACAAAATTTTATCTTAACATTTTTGCCTAGTCAAATTTGAATTTTCTTTTATTTATTTAATAATTTATTTTATTAGATAACTCTTTCATTTTGTGATCATTTTTTTTTTAATTTCAAGCACTCAATTTGTTGTCATTCATAATCCTTATCTAAAAAATAATAATAGATAACTTTTTATTCAATTTGATTTTAATTTTTTTAAATGTTCCATGTAGTCCAATTACTTTTAAAATATTTAATTTGATTATCTAATTTCTTAAAAAATATTTAATGATCTTCGTTTATCTAATTTTATTAACACTTTAAATCTAGCCATAATGACAATATTAAACATGTTTTAATAATTAAAGGATAAAATTATATTTTTAAAAAATAATAAAATTAAGTTGAATATTAAAAAATAGAGTGATTAGTCTTTGATTTACTATGATTTGTGATGTTGGCGATGCAAACTGTTTTATGTCATACAATTAAACCCTAACCTGTTATGTTCTAATTCAAATATGATATGTTGAATGTTCATGTATCTGTTCTTATCATTGCACAGCGCAATCCATTAGGAATACTGGAATAGTCCAATCCAATGCGAGTGACCTTTGCACCGAATAATAAATAAATAAAGGCAGTGACTTACATTTGTCATTGGGAATTGATTCCAAAAAAATTGGGAGAAGAGATAACAGGGGAAAGTGGGAAACAGTTGATGATCCCAATGGGAATTGGGAAGTGGCAAAATTGAGGATCATCAACCATAGATAATCAGGTAAACTCTCTATCGTTCATGTTTTCTCATCATCAAACATTATTCATATACCTTTTCTTCAATTCCTTCCAATAATTGAAGTTCCTTGTCGTCGTTTTCAACCCGATTACGGGTACAATTTTTTGTCTTACTTTTCTTTCTCCTTCCAATGTTGAATTTTTCATTCTTATGGCTTAATTGACATGGGTTTTCCCATGCTAACCTGTTTAATCCTAAACTAGTATTGTGTAGTAAATTGATTGTACATTGTTAGAAATTTATAATCGTGCTTTGATCATAAGGGTATTCTTATAAATAATGTGATATTCTGTTGGGAATTGTATTGATTTACTAATAAGAAAAACTAAAGCGAGCATGTCATTGTACTGCCTGATAATAACTTCAATGATTTATCTTGTCATTAGAGAATTTTATTGGCTCATAGCAGTAATAGGTTATGTTGACAATTTGCTTTGTTCCTATACCCTATTCCTCCTTAAGCAGTAACAGAACAACACAAACATTAAAATAAATGGAGAAAATTAAAAGCTCTGGAGTTTTTAAACGGGAAAAAATCTATGGGATAAGCACCAGCTTACATAGTTACTGAGAATTTAGGTTATAATTCTATGAAATTGAATACCTTCATCTAAATGTGTTGAAATAAATTTTCAAGTCATTGCTTTTGGACATGACAAAGATTACTAGTTGAAGTAAAATGCTTACATTAGTTTGATAATTATGGTTTTCCTTATTCTCCAAAGCTGAAACAAATGATCTAAACGTTGATTAAACTATTTTTCCTTTTGTAACTAATGTATCTGCTGCCAAATGTCTGAAGTTGAACCAATGGATTGTACAGCTGCAAGAAAGACACTAAAGGCTGACCGAGAAAAGCTTAGGAGGGATCGGCTCAATGAACAGTTTGTAGAACTGGGCAACATTTTAGGTAAATCAAATTTCACTTTCTCACATTAAAATTACAAAAATGGAGTAGACTGGTAAAAAATGTAATGGGTTTTTGATATTCTATTGTTATTCTTGACTTACTAATGATATCCAACTACAGGATGTGTTAATAATAACTGAAGCATTGTAACTAACATTATCCATATTGTTTTTATGTTATTCAAGTGGCATTGGTTTGTATTTCTTTTGCCTTGCCCAAAACACTGGTTCATCCACAAAGTACTTTATGCTGCTTTGTCATTTTAAAAAAAAAAAGGAGTTTTCTTTGGATCTTCATACTTGCATAATGTCAATGACTTTAGTATTGGAATTAATCTGATTGGAGTTTAATTTTTTTCAACTACATGTAACAGAGGTTACTTTAGGTTAGACATGCTGATAATTTGCATCAAACAAAGTGTTGCCTGTGGCTTCTTTAGAATTTGTCCATGTGATGGTAAAAACTAATTAAATAGCGTCTTAAATAACTCTGCCTGTGGTGACTCTGAAATGCAGACCCTGATAGGCCCAAAAATGACAAAGCAACCATTCTAGGTGATACTATTCAATTGCTAAAGGACCTTACTTCTCAAGTTAGTAAACTTAAAGATGAATATACTACACTTAATGAAGAATCATGTGAGGTAATATTTTCTCATTTTGCTCTGATGAATCTCGCCTTGATGCTTTTGGGACATGACTACGTAAAATGATAAAGGAAATAATGATATTTCGTTAAATTTTAAGTTGTCTCAGGAGAAAAATGATCTGAGAGAAGAGAAGGCTTCTCTTAAATCGGATATTGAGAGGTTGAATAATCAGTATCAGCAACAGCTCAGGACTATGTCTCCATGGACTGCAATGGATCATTCAGTAATGCTAGCTCCACCATCATATCCGTATCCAATGCCAATGCCAATGCCAATACCTCCTGCTCCAATTGGCATGCAACCATACCCTTTCTATGCTAATCAACATTCTGGAATCATCCCTAACCCTTGTTCAACATTTGTTCCTTATTTAGTCCCCAATACCTTTGTTGAACAGCAATCCACCCAGCATATATCCCCACCACTTCATCCAGGTTTTCAGTCCTGTGTGTCAGGAAAACAAGAATCCAGTAACAAATCATCCAAGGAGAGCAAGGCTGAAAAACAGGAGGATTCCAATGATGTGACTGCAGACCTGACTCCTGGGTTTGCAGATCAGGTTAGTGTTGCTTTTCAAGGAAATCTTGTAACCTATTGTTATGATACAAAAAGTATTGGATTCAAGTGGAGTTTGTGTGTTGGATTTTGCAGGACTTGTTATCTGGACAAAGAAAATGTAGCATGTTGTCAAGGAAGGAAAGCAGTTGCACTGAATTGAGTTCGTTAGGTAGGAGTTCCTTGTCTTGTAGCATTCAGGATAGTTCATCAAGTAGTGTAGTTCACGAGCACAAAGGCTAGTGAATGAGAAATGGCTCAGTTTTAGTCAAGTGCTTATGGCTTTTGACGCCACAATTAAGTTTTCCATTAGTTTAATTGCTACAACTGTCTGGAGGTATAAGTCACTTGTTTACTTATTATTCTTTTTAACAGTCACTTCTGTTATCTAAGTAGGCTTAAAAGTCACTTCTGTTGTAGCATTCAGGATAGTTCATTAAGTAGTGTAGTTCTCGAGCACAAAGGCTAGTAAATGAGAAATGACTCAGTTTTAGTCAAGTGCTTATGGCTTTTGCAGCCACAATTATGTATTTATGTTTCCATATTTTAATTGCTGCAACTCTCTGGAGGTATGTAAGTCACTTGTTTTGTTATTATTCTTTCTTAAAAGTCACTTCTGTTACCAAGTTGACGAGAGTGGCTAATGTGTAGGGGAGGTAAATCCCTTCACCTATCGACCGTGGACCAGAAATTGTATTTATGTATATATGCATCATTTTTTTTATACAACAGAGATATAGAAAGAGGATAAAAAAATGTGAGATAAGATTGTTGGTTTAATGGAGATAAAAATAAAAGTAATATTGTAAAATGCTATATAAATAATATAATTCTATATAAACTAGACTCTGGATGGTTCTATGTGCTAGTTAAACCACGTGACAGCAAGAGAATGCCCCCCTGCAACACAAAGAGAATGCATGCACACATATATATACATATATATATATATATATATATATATGGGAAATAAATAAATTTAATCGAACAGCTGGCGAGTGACCTGTTGTTATAAATTTATAATAATAAACAAGTAAAAACGGCTGTTTTCAGTGTCTTGCACGAACATGTAAAAGGAAAGAAAAAGAATCTCACAAAGGGAGCAGCTAATGGTCATTAGATTCTTGATTGAATATTGACATGGGTGTAAACAATAGAACTAATGCCAGCACGCCAGTGGCACTCTTTGCAAGTTCTCTCTTTAATTATTGAGTAAAATTCAAGTGTTTTGCGAGCGTGCCGCACATGTTGGTAACACCGCGAGACATGGATTTTTTAAGCAACAAATAGTTATTTTTTAAGTGATTTCACTGTGATTATATCCTTAATGTAGATTTCTACGCCAATCCAAACATTGTAAATTATTAGCGGGTTATGGTTTTTGGTACCAGACTACAAGTAAATATTGTTGGCCTTTCTTAGGTAGGTAGAAAATTTTATTGAGCAGTCTAACATATTGCAACGTTCTTTTTGTTGGCTGTAAATGACAAGATTAGCCGGACTAAAAATATGACGCAAGTATGTTAAAAAGAAGAGATTAAGAATCAAGAACAATAAAACCTGTACCTACTAAAAGCAGACACAGAGGTGTAATATATATTTGTTGCTTATGATATGACGATATTCTAATTTGATATTTTGCTTTTTAAACTAAAAAAGAAATGCTGAACAGATTTAAAAACTATATTACAAGGCAATACATAATCGACACCAATATTTTAACAATATTACGCGTCAAAAAGATTACTGTACTCCGTTCCATCAATCTTGTTCAATGTATGATTGTTGTGCTGCTAATGTAAGTATTTTCTGCATTCCATTGGTTATCAAAATTTCTCCAAAAAATGATGATAATCTTGATAGTTGTTAAAAGTGAGTTAAAGCTGATTTTTCACTTCATATCATTTGGGTAATAATAAGGAAATTCAATTAAGTTAATTTGCACATGATTAAGAAAAAACTAAATTTGCAAGAACTACTAGTACAGAGAAAAAAATTTGGTAGGACAGAAGTTGCACTCAAAGAATATATGCCAAAGCTAACTTGATATGAGAAGAAAGAAGCTTATATAAACCTTAGAAGACAACCTAGTGTGCTTATGATACAGTCTAGTTCTGCATGTGTCATTGAGTAGAAAGAAAGACAGTAAAATGGGGTGGTTCTACCCAAAGAAGAAAAGTTCAGAATGGAAGCAGGGATACAAATTGGCAGAGCAGAGCATGGACACTGCTTCTCTTTCTCCAACTCTTCACTTGCTTGTGATATTAGGCATTGTCCTTAGCTTGTTGTGGCTCTCCCATTACATCACCTACAAGGCTCAGCAGAATCACACAGTCATATACTTTCAGTTATTCCTCTTCTTCTCACCCATCTTGTTCATACTCTTCTTGCTCTCATATTCCTACTGTGGAAGGCTCAACTTTTGCTTCATGCTTTCTGGGCACAAGTCACTCCAACGAGCTGTGGTGTCTCCCTTGAAGCTGGAATGTACTCATCTTGTTGCTACTACTGCTACTGCTATCATTTTCTTATTAATCTTCATTTTATTCTAAGTGGTTCTTAGGACCTCTCAAATAAGGAGACAGAATTCCCACATGGTATCACCACACTAGTTATAGAGAAGCCTTTGTAGCAAATTCTATGTTCTTGTTCACATGCAGGCCATATATATTCACATATATTGATATATTACTGAATTATTTGCTGATATTCTCTATGTAAATTAAGTTTTAGTTGTTTCACTTGTGGAAACATGGAATTTGATCTCCGCGTAGCAATTCAATGGTTTGTTTTTGCTATCCTTTTCTCGTGAGTTTAATTGTTCATCTGATCCTTATATCTGCATAAACTTTAGTCTCTACACAAACTCTTTTTAATCTAATTTGGCCCCTCATGTCCAAAATTATAGGGACTAAACGAATTCAAAAGTGTATGAGTAGGGGTTAAAATGAGTAATATTTAGGTGTAGGAACTAAAACGTGAAGATTGTATTGGTGAGACTAAATGAATAATTAAATCTTTTATTGTTCTTGTGTTGGTGAAATTTATGAAAGCAGACCAAGTTAATTTAATAGGAATGCATAGCAACCTTTTTCCATTGTCGACGAAAACCACACGGCTTGACAAGTGTTAATGGGGTGTTTCTAATGTTAATGTGTTCATAATTTCATGTATAACTATCCTATTTTTAATTGATTCGAGAGTCCTATAAATAATAATTAAAAAAACTGGTGCATATAACTAAGTTTTGAACAAGACTCAGAGAAATTCCATAGTTTTATATCAAAAGGATAAGCATATTCATGAAAATGGTGTTTAAAAATACTTGTTTAATTTTGTCATGAACTTCTTTTTCCGGATCAATAGTTCATAATATATAGACAATAATGAAAATCGAACCTAAATTCTTGTACATCTAATCAAATATTACCACTGAACTGATTTTAGTGGTTAACTTTTTATGACTCTAATATCGGTTTTGTTTAATCAAATTTAATGGTAAAGGACTTATGCCACACCAAAGCAACCCTCTTTTCCAACCAAAAATTCTGAAAAACCAAAAATCTCAGTTTCATTTTTGCCATCATTTAGAAGTGACACATAAACATATGAGAATCACCTTGAACACGATTCATATATTCATACAATCACCATCATATATGTATCTACATATTAACATATTACAATATTGAAAGGATTTTTATCACAGATTCATAGCAAGTAAAAACCAAAAATGAAAAGGCATAGAAAAATAAAACCAACCTATAAAAAACAAAACCAAAAATCCAAATCAAACAAACCAGCTGTCAAGAAAGTTGGATTGAAATTGCACCATTACGAGCAACACCAGGATCAAAGCAGCCACACCCCATGGAGAGCTTCCTTCTGAAGGGCTTTGGTTGGTTCCCCTGCGCCTCTCCCACGGTAACGAAGCAGAGAACCAATCTGAATTCTCCATTGATGATAACCAACGAACTATGAGTATTAGCACCACTGGGGTGGCAAAAAGTAGCCAACTCAATTGTTTTTCAGCACTTTCAACCACTTCTTCGTAGGAAAAGTACCATGAAATGGCAAGGAAGGCGAAGATGAGTGCTAAGATTAGCAGAATAGGATATGGCAGGGGATTCAGAGTGAAACCATCCAAAACAGAGGAGGCTCTGTTTTTATCATAAGCCATTGAATTTGATGGCCTTTTGAGTATTGGAATTCAGAGTGAGAAGCTTGAAAGACCTTTTTATTTTATAGCAAAACAAAACAGAGGAGTGAGTGTCTGATTTTTAGATCTTGCTACGGGTTATCCCAATCCACTAGGTCACAACACTCATAGTTCTGTGACTACTGTTGATTCGAAGAATTTTCATACACAACAAGAGCTAAATACGAAATTTTATACTAAATAGTCTCTAATTTGGTACGTGGCCTACTTGTGGAAGTAAGTTGTACTCTATGATTCTCTATTGTTTGATTTGTGGAGCTTTTTGATAAATGAGATAAGTCAAGACAAGAGAGGTAGTGTTAGTGTTAGCATGTACAACATGCTGAAAATGGGGTGAGGGAATTTCCTTACTGAAAAGGTTAATGCTATTGGCATGGTACAACATAACATACGTGTTTTATTTTTCAGAGTTTCAATTAATTGATTTTGACTTGGTTGGTTGGATTGTAAATGCAAATTACGAGTATTGTCCCATTTTGCCCAAAAGGAAGACATCTTTCATGTACTATCAAGCACGGCACCTCTCTTATTGTAAAAGACGCACTATACTTTTTTCGAAATATTTTATCTTAACCAGTAAAAAAAAAACATTTTTATTTTAATTTTCATGTTTTGGGATTTACATTATGAATCATTTACATGATGATTAGCTAATAGTTTAAAAAATATTTAAAATGTCAATTTCTCTAATTATATTCTTAATTTAAATGTCATACTACGGTAAATTTATTTGGTTAACATTGTATCAAAATAATGTATTTTGTAAAGGGAATTTAAGTTTACACGATAAAATAATGCATTTTAATATTTTTTTTTAAAGGACTATACAAATATAGAAAAAATATTACATGTTTGTGTATTTAGTTGTCTCACAATTTAAACATTAATGAAGTTTTAGTAAAAATTAGAGAGCATGACGTTTGAAACATAAATAATTTCATGTACTGGTTATTTGCAATATAGATTAATTTTTATAAGAACTTGATAGTTAAATTGATACCACTTAAAAAAGAAAAACTGATATCGATTTATATGATTAGGGTTTGAGCGTAGTGTGAACACCGAAAGTATGGTTTTTCTTTGGTGTCAAATTCCACCAATTCCCACTTAAGTGATTGCGTCTACCATTTTCAACAAAAAATGATTACCTCAAACCACACTATTTCCATTTTTAACGCATTTTAGATGTCTCTGTCCAACTCTTCCAACGCGTCTCATTTCTGCTAGAATTTAACTTTGCCAATTAGGCAAATTTGTATGCTCCATTTAAATATTCATACTTATAACGCGTTAGACTGAATAGGATAGCTATCACAAAATAAATAAATAATGGAGCTAGCTAGTGTGGGACACAAGAGCCACTCTTAGTTAATGGGTGATGTATGGCCCATTACCTACTATAAAATAAAGTCACACTTTTCCTCTTCTTCCAACTCCTCTTGACATTTTTCTCTTTCTCAAATTTTCTAACATGTTCATTGATAGCAGTCTCCAGGAATCAGTGCATACCCAAAACAATATTCATACTTAGTTGAAAAATAAACTTTTATCGTACAAGCTCTCTCTAAAAGATACATAACAACGAATTTTTATTCTCTTTAAATAAGAAACCACAACAAATTATAAACAACCCTTCAATATTCTAAATCAGATGGTACATCATTTCTCCTCACATGGATCGTGCACAAACTTGGTGTTCATCTTGCATTGCAGTTGTGATTCAGCAAATTGCAATCAAAAAGAATTCTTTCCTTCCAAGTTCCAACCCTAATCTATCTACCTAGCTAAGAGCATAACAATTTACATGATTCCCTTTTTCACTTAACTGAACAAAATCATCGCTAGAAAATTCAATCATACAATATAACGTGTAAATTATAATGTGACTTGACCAATCGATAAGAAATAAGGATATAAGAAATAGGACATTATAATTATTGTGATAATACATTAGTAACATAAAATTGTGGTGCACCGACATAAAGAATAAATTGCATGGTCATCATTATATTATAAGGACAACTGTAAATATAAACACAGAACAGAATACCATTATTCATACACATCAGTAACAGTAGCAGGCATAGTTACAGCGACAATAAGGTGGTTTGACACAAACCCTTTTCCTTGAACTTCCCAGGAAGAACAACAAAAGCAGGATGAGCACTACGAGTATTGGTGCCACAAAAGGTGAGAAGTTAGTCGTTTCTTCTAATTCTTCTTCTGGTTCACGTGAGAAGAGCTTTGGTACACACAGAAGAATCAGGGCCACGGCCAAGATCAGAACAACATTGGGAGTTCGAGCGTCATAAGGCCTAGGTTTACAATAATAATAACCCATTGAAGGCCTGAGAAAATAAAAAGAAAGATTTATAAATGAAGAGACTCAGAATGAGTAAGTAAAAGCATAGCAAGGAAGGAAGGGAATTTTATTTTATAAAACAAATAAACAAGAAGGAACGAAGGAACATAATATTTGTTCTCCACACGATATTTGGTAGGCAGTTATTGCGCTTTTTATATTATCTGTTTGGCTATCACATTCCTTGAGAATGACGACATTATCATCACACTCACATACCAAATTGTGGGCTCAACTAGCACGTATTTGGACCTAAGGAAGCCGCCTTAATTTGGAGCTTAATATTGGTATTTTCAATTTGCTACAAAATTATAAACAAACAAATCTTATTCTCCACTTCTTGTCAGAATCCTTTAAGCAGTTTTGGAACTAAAGTAGTTTTTTTTTTCTAAAAAAATTTGTACCGACAAATTGAATTGAACCAAATAGATGAAATCCAATTTTTGTTGGTTCTCTTATCAAGTTCAAAATGATATTCAAAATACATATAAATATTTATTATTAGATAACATCCAAAAGAGTCCAAATCATTCAAAATTTGACATGTTTGATCCTGAGTATATATCATCTAATACAATGATTAGATTAGTTGAATTTGCATTTTATAAAAGCGTTTTTTTAATAAATAAATATTTTTTTTTATGTGTTTGCCTAAACTTTTTTAAAATAAGCATATTTCAATCATAGTAGTCAATAGCGGCTGGAGCGGCCGCTATCGCGGCGCTCCGGAGCGGAGCGGCCTC